CCTTCAGTTCTTTTTTTTTTTTTTTTTTTTTTGAGCCAAAACATAGCATAGAGAATGTGGTGTGCGCAGTAGTGGTCCCAAGCAGAGCAGAGTGGTGCTATAACACCACCATCTGACTTAAATTTGCCTGCCGTAACCTGAAAGGGATTGCAATCATAAGCAGTCTGCATTTTTTGTTTATCTAATTAATACTTGTTAAGGAAAACTAAGAAATGAATAACAAAATACAGTCGCCAGAATTCTTTTGAAATGTTTGGTATTATTTTTAATGAATGATGACATTATTGAATATTTTTAAGGAACAGAGGATTTTTCAATATGTTTTGTATTATTATATGTTCCTAAGATTGTTTCATATTATTTCAAGAGAGTGGGTATTCTAATAGTTACTTAAGGGAGAATAAAGCAACATTTAATCATTAAAAATCAAATTCCGTTAATAAATTACCAGTCTAAGGATTGTATTTGAAAAATAGATTCCAGTTATCTGACCTCAAAACATTTGGTTAGTGAGATTATTAGAGAAGATGCTTTATCATCATCCAAATTGATAGAATATTTTAAATAGGTAGGTTGACCCTTAAGCCATCGTGTCGTTAACCATGAAAGAAATTCTTCATTTGTAGAGCAGTTTATAATTTTAAAAACTCATTCACAACAATTGAGCCCTTAGAAATATTTATTCAATTAACAAATATTTATTGAATACCTGCTATGGAACTACTATATTTATATGCTTTAGATACAACAAAAAATTCAAATGAGGCTCTTGTCCTTATAGTGTTTATATATATGATTATAAAATTATTTAAATGTGGTTATAATTGAGATAGTTCTACTTTTTTCTTGAGAGATTAGCGAGAATGCAAACGGCATAAAAGTAGAAGGTGAGTTTATTTTGTTCACCAGTGTCAAACAGGTCATATTAGCAGCTCAATTAATATTTGGTGAACAATCGATTTTCTTAACAAAGATGAACAAAACTCCAAAGATTTTTTTTTTAAGGTCAGTACTCTCTGAATGCATGGCTGTAAAGATTCTTTAGGCACACTAGTTGATGAATTGCTCTATTTCTTATTAGGTTGGCTCACTTTGCCTTCTTTTTACAAGGAAATTTGCCTATTGCATGCCTAATCCCACAGTTACGAACCCAAGCACTAAATTTGGTCATTACTAGATAATTATAATGACCTAGAAGGAAAAGTATCATGTAATGAATCAGATTAGCACTTGCAAAATACGTTAGTCTATCATTATAGAGAAAGCTGATTAGGTGACTGCCTAATGAATTAAAGTGGTTCTTGACCCAAAAGAGCAACTTCTGTTCTAATCGATTAATACCTCATTTCTTTGAGTTGGATTGGCTTACATGTTTTGTTTTATGTTTTTGGTGCTGTTTTTATGGCCCATATTACAATGCAAGAAGCCCTGAAAGTGACCACTCTTTGTTTAACAAACAATAGCAATTAACACCATACCTGCTAAGGCTCCTGCAGGTAGACAGTAGTCCCCTGTTCTCTGTGGGGCTTTGTTCCAAGACCCTCAGTGGATGTCTATAGCCACAGACAGTACTGAACCCTATATATACTATATTTTTCCTATGGTAAAGCTTAATTATAAATTAGGCACAGTA